GTCTCCTTCAACCGGGACAGTTCGCCGGAGAGCTGCCCAGCCTGGCTCTCCAGCTCGCCCCGGTAAGCAGCGTGCTGGGAGAGGTCATGCCGCTGGCTCTCCAGTTGGTACTGGCAAGCCACGCACTCCTTCGTCACCTTGAACAGCTTCTGCTTGATCTGCCGGATCTCATCCTTCAAGTTGTCCCTCTCCAGCTCCACCTTGGCCAGCAGCCGGCAGGCTGCCTGGATCTCCTCGTGGGCATGGCGGATCTCCTGCAGCGCCGGCTCCCGGAGCTGGGCGAGCTCCGCGATCAGGCTGTCTCTCTCTTTCTCCAGCTGCTCGACGGCTTCGATGCACTCTTGGAAGTAGTCCCCCAGCTCTTCGAGGCTGAGGCACTGATGCTCCGCGCCATCCGCGTCCAGGGGGCTGCCTGCACCCTCTGCATCCATATCCAGCGGGATCCCTGCCCCATCTGCGTCTGCATCGGCTGGGGGGGGGCGAGCTCCGCGATCAGGCTGTCTCTCTCTTTCTCCAGCTGCTCGACGGCTTCGATGCACTCTTGGAAGTAGTCCCCCAGCTCTTCGAGGCTGAGGCACTGATGCTCCGCGCCATCCGCGTCCAGGGGGCTGCCTGCACCCTCTGCATCCATATCCAGCGGGATCCCTGCCCCATCTGCGTCTGCATCGGCTGGGGGGCCGGTGGGATCCCTACTCCCTCTGCATCCACGTCCAGTGGGATCCCTGCTCCACCCACATCCAGTGGGATCTCTATTCCACCTGCATCCATGTCCAGCGGGATCCCTGCCCCACCTGCATCCACATCCAGCGGGATCCCTGCCACGTCCACGTCCAGCGGGATCCCAGCCCCAGCCGCATCCTCGTCCAGCTGGGGCCCTGGCATGTTTAGCTCCAAGGGAGCGTCCCTGTTGTCTGCCTGCAGCTCCTGGCAGGAGTCTGGGCTGCCCCCGTGCAGGGGTGTCACCCCCACGCCCACCACCGGCTCTAACGGGCTGCTTGAAAGGTCTGGGTGTGGAGCAATGCCTGCAGCCGCTCCCTGTGGGGCTGAGGATGCTCCGGCTTCATCCAGCTGCAGCTCTGGAGGGGGCTCGGGCTCTGCCATCAGGTCCCTGGAAAGGAGGGGAGACATGAACCAGAGCAATGAGTGTAACAGGTCTCAGCCCTTCCTCTCCGCCCTGCGAGATGCGGGTGCCCCGCAGTAGGCTGAGCTGGGGGTGCTCTCGCCGCAGCCCCGCTGCCGTGACTGTCCCCGTGTCACCCAGGGGCTGTGCAAACCGGGCAGGGCTGCCCCTGCACGCTCTGACGACAACTTTGACCCAAACTGTCGGCTTTGGCAGGGGCCGAAACAAGGGAAGAAAACCCTCGTAAAGTGACTGCCACGGAGAAAGAGCGAGGGATGCAAACCTGGACCCCAAAACCAAGAGCTACTCTGGTGCCGACATGAACTGCCACCGTGTAGCGGCTGATCTCCCCCGGCGGCACCGGTGTGACCGGTGTGGGCACTCCCGGGAAAACTTGCCAGGATTTTAGCAATGTGGCATAACCTCACGGCAAGGGAATGTGCTGTTAAAGCGCGGGCAGGCTCCGAGATGGCCGAGATGGAGTAAAGCACCGCACGCGCAGCGCCCGAACGAGCCGCAGCTCCTGCAGCAGGAGCCCGGCGAGCTCCTCTTTGCAGAGTCATCCGATCCCATCGTTATCCCCAGCCCCGGTACCTGCAGCTGCCACCACCAAACGCGCGCGTCTCACATTCACCCGGGTGCTATTTGGGGTAGGATGGAGAGGACAACTCTCGGGGACGAGCTGGAGCTTTCCCTGCTGCTTCCAGGAGCCGGGGCCGGTGGGTTTGGCAGGAGGATGCTCTCACCTCCCGGCCACGCCGCTGAGCTCATGTCTAGTCATCCCCCAAGGAATGAGCGCAGGCTGGCACTCGCAGGCAGCCCTCGGCTCGCGGCAACGGCTTTAAGGAAAGAACTGATTTTCACCGATACTTTCTCTCCTAATAAGGTAGTTTTCGGCAGCGATGACACATCGCAGCCTCGGACCCAACGGCCCGTCGGCTGGAGAGGGGGCAGCGCCTGGAAAGGTGGGGAAAGGGCTCCGCTTCATTTTTCCTTGCCCTCCTCCGGTGCCAGCACTTATTTTTCAAAGTTCCCAGCTCTGCCCTCGCAGGGTGGGAGGTGAGGACGGCTGTCCCACCCTCGCAGCGGGGCGCGGGGGCTCGCTCCCACCCACCACCCCTCGT